CCGCGCCTCAGCCCCGCGGCACGAACGGGTCCGGTGCCTCTGGATGGACCCAGCCGTTACAGCCCAAAAGCGCGGCCTGCTCCTCAGCGCCAGGAACTCGGCCGGCAGAGAGCGGCGGAGAAGCAGCGGACAGGTAAGGAAGGGCGGCGCGGGGCGGCGCGGGGCGGGGCGGGGCGGGGCGAGCGGCTCCGCCCGAGCTGGGGACCGGCGGCCGGGAAGCACCGCCCGGCCCTGCCCGGCGCAGTGCGCGTGCGCCGCCCGCAGGTGAGCAGGGGGCAGTGCTCCTCGCTATGGAAACACCCCCGGGCAGTGGCGACACGATCCCGCGGGACAGAGCGGCCCCGAGCGGAGACACCGCGGAGACACCGCGCTGCCAGCACAGCGCCCGGCTCGGAGGTACGTGCGGCTCTAGGGCCGGCTCTCTGTGGTATCTGGCCGCAGGCCAGCATCTCTGTGGTGTGTCTGCCACTCTAGCCACCTCTCTGTGGTAGACGTGCGACGCTCTGGCCACACGCCTGAGTCTCTATGCTATGTCTGCCATTCTAGCCTCCTCTCTATGGTGCACATGCGCCACTCTGGCCACAGGCCTGCGTCTATATGGTAGACGGGATGCTCTAGCCTGCCCTCTATGGTACATGTGCGGCGCTCTGGCTATAGGCCTAAATCTCTATGGTACAAGAAGTGCTATAGCCACCTCTCTATGGTACAGCTGCGACGCTGTAGCCAGAGGTTTGCATCTCTGTGGTAGACGGGGCACTCTAGCCGCTGTTCTGACGTACACGTGGGACGCTCTAGCCACAGGCCTGCCTCTCTGGTACAACGAGCGCTCTGGAGGCCGCTGTATCTTACATGTGCGATGCTGTGGCCACAGGCCTGAGTCTCTGCTACACGGGGTGCTTCTGGTTTCCAGGACGCTCTAGCCTCCTTTTTGTTCTCGGCAGTCGCTCTGGCCTCCACTCTATGTTACACGCCGCCCCGCTCTCTACGGCTGCCGGGCGGTGTTTTGCAGCGCGTAACTGTCCCGGGCGGGCCCGGCGGCAGCTGCCGCGCTCGGCTCCCCTGTCTCTGGTGCCCAACGCTCCTCTTCCGGCGGGCGATGCCGCTCGTGATCCGTGGCGGCTCCTCCCCGGGGCGGGCCCGCTCCGGCCCAGCCCCGCGGCCTTCCGCGGCTCGTGTCGGGTAGCCGCGCGTGTCGCACCCGGGGCTCGCAGCCGCCGCAGGGGCCGGAGCTCGTCCCCGCCGCGGCCTCACTCCACCTCTCCCCGCCGCAGCGCAGGTAACGGCAGGTAACAGCCGGGCACGGACCGGAGCTTTCGGCCGCGGCAGCTCCGGCAGAGCCCGTGCGCTCCCGCCCGCAGCAAAGACAACCCCGGCGGGGCGGGGCGGGGCCGGGCCGGGCCGGGCGGGGGCAGTGGCCGCGGCCGCGAACAGGAGCGAGCTGCGGGAGGTGTCCGGGGGAGGTGTCCCGAGAGCCGGCTCTTTGTGGGGCTGGAAACGACGCGTAGGTTGCTCGCGTTCGGCTGCGCCCACGAAGGCTTCGCTGGAGGCAGCGGAGGAGCTCGGAGCAGGAGGCTGCGGGAAGCGGTGGGAAACGGGGTCTGGAGCCGGCGCTCGCTGCTGAGCGTGGGGCGAGCAGGTTCTTCCCTTGGCTGCCAGAGCAGCGCAGCCGCTGTGGATGGAGCTGCCGGGTCTGGGGTGCCTTTAAGGGCTTCTGAGTTTCCGAGCGGTGCCCGCGGGGGAGGGCTGGAGGGGTCTCTGGGTCCTGAGCGCTCAGCCCTAACGCGGTGGCTGCCCAGGAGCTGCTTCCCAGCGCGGGGCTCAGCCCCTGGCTCGGCCCCTTTGCTCCTCCCGGGGCAGCAGCTCTGTCCCAGCCCCTGCAGCGCTCCGCTTTTCAGCTGCTTTCCCCGTTGCTGCAGTAGCGGCGCTCGCTGGTGTCAGCCGTGGCCTCGGCAGTGCTGGGATCTGTTCAGGCTGAGGATCTTAAAGGTCTTTTCCGAGCTGCCCTGCCTGACGGTTGCATGCTATTCCTCAGGCTGCCTCCATAAAACGGTGGATTTCCCTTCTCTCTCTCTCTCAGAAGCCCAAGGCTGTTGTGCTGCTGAAATCTCATGCTGCTGGTGGATCAGAACCCTTTGCTTTAGCCAAAGGCTCCGGCCGTGGACAAGGGTGCGTGAGTGTCAGCAGCTGAGCGCTCAGGAATGCTCAGTGAGAAACAGGGAATTCTTTCTGGGATGCTGAAGGAGTGTGGAAGCCAGGCTGGCTGTGCTGCCACAGGTCAGGTCTGTTCATAGCACAAGCACAGGTCGGGCCTCAGAGCAGCGTCCCCAGCACCAGCTGCCTGGTTCCTGGCAGGCTTTGGCTACAAGCTGGCCCCAGACCACAGAGGTGTGGGGCTTCTCCTTCCATGTGTGTTGGCATTGCTGAACCAGCTGGTTCCTGGGTTTTCCAGCTCAGTGTTTTCCTTTGCTCACAGGGGGAATTGTGGGGTTTAGCAGAGCTTGAGGACCCAGCACTTGTGGCAGCAGTGGGATGCTGCTGAAGGGCAGGCAGGAAGTCCCCTGGACATGAGCCCCTCCTGAGGCCTCCCTTCCTCCTCCCATCACAACCTGTCTCTTGGCCTCCCTCTCAAGGGAACTCCTCAGCTCACAACACATTGGAATGTTTCCTCCTGCTCACGGGGGCTCTGATCCTGTTCCTGGCTTTCATCCACTGCCTGGTGGGCTCTGGGGCAGGATAAAGGTGATAAAAGCATAAAGGTGAGGGGAAGAGCTGGCTGTTCCCATACCTGATTCCAGCCAGGAGAGCTCTTGGCTCTGACTGAACACAAAGGCAGAAGGTAAACCCTCTATGATCATAGGGGTTGCTGCAGCTCCTCTCAGGTTTAGGATCTCTTGGGAGCTTTTCATTCAAGGCTTCTCTGTTCTCTGATGGTGGTGCCTGTTTCCAGCAAGGACAGCAGAGGAGCAGGAGGTCTCAGTGATGAGGTTCAGTATCTGGGTCACTCACCATTGCCCCTGTGTGTTCTCTGGTGAGTTTTGATACTGGGAGAAGATGAGATAAAAGGAACATGTGCAGAAAGATAGAACCAGGGCTGAGCTGGCCCGGGCAGAGGCCACTTGCGAAAGGGATTTGGAGGTGAACTCTGGGTCCTGTGTGAGGACACCAGGCATGGGCAAACAGGGTGGCTGCTCTTTTCCTTTCCCTGTTGGCATTTCTTGATACCAGAACCTGGGCAGAGCCTCCCCTCCTGTGCATCCTAAAGAACAGGCTGATGCTTTGTGAGCCGTAGTGCTTGGTTCAGGGACTTAAGTCGTTTCTTTAAGTTCTAAAGCCAATACACATCATAGTCAAGTTCTGCTTTTCTCTAGCTGTGGCTTTTCTTCACTTGGTTGAGCTTGCACATCAGAAGTGGAGAGTTCCTTTCCCTGTATTGAATTTTCAGTGTGTGTGCTGGAAAGTGTTCTTCCAGGACTGAGCATTGGCTGTTCTACAAAACCTTGTCTTCTGCCTGTCTGGAGACCACCAAAGGGAAGAGCAAGTGCTGTGGTGTGTCTTCAGGTGCCTGGTAACTCTGCCTTGGGCTGTGTAAGCTCTCTGGTGCCCCAGTTCCTCTGTCTGTAGCAAGAATCCGGGAGTCTTTCAGGGTGTTGCTGCTCAGTCAGCATCTCTAAGGAGTTTCATGGGCTTCACAGCAGTGTTTGGTCTCTTCTCACAAGAAACAAGTGACAGAACAAGAGGAAACAGCTTCAGGTTGCACCAGGGCAGGGTTAGACTGGAGATTAGGAGCAGTTTGTTCACTAAGGGGGTTGTCAAGCCTGGAACAGGCTGCCCAGGGCAGTGGTGGAGTCACCATCCCTGCAGGGGTTAAACAGATGTGTAGATGTGGCACCTGGGGACAGGGTTTAGCGGTGGCCTCCGCAGCACTGGGTTAATGTTGGGCTTGATGATCTCAAAGGTCCATGTCCGTGACTTGGTGGCTGATTCCTGCAGCTGCCAGGAGCCAGGGTTGCATTTTGGCAGCTGCGGGTCCGGCACTTCCAAGTTGGAATCTTTGGGCAGCGCTGAAGCTGCTGGTGACTCGAGGCCGGGAGCCCCGGGGGCACGTCCCCACCTCAGACCATGTTCTGGTAGAAAACTGTTTCCAGGCTTTTCCCCCAGCGCTGCCTCTGGTTTAGTTTGTTCCTGCCCAGTGAGTTGTTGTCTGAGAACGTGGGATAGCTGATTTTATTGTTACTGCCAACTTCGAGAGCTCTGCAATCTTCAGCTCTGGAGCGGAGAAGTAGGTGGGGCAGCCACAGCTCCAGTGTTGAGAAAGCATGGAGGAAAATCACAAGTCTTCAATAAGAAAAGCTCCTCGAGTCTGTGTCTCCCCAGTGGTGCCACATTTCTGTGCATTTGAGACCAAAGTGCTGTTAAATCCTGCTGGATTGAGACCTGCCCTCCAGGAATGGATAACCAGGACAGAGTGCTCTGTGTGGCTTCACATCTTAATGCTTGGAAGGTTTTGCCCTTTAACTGAGGAGTCGTTACAGATCTCCCTCTGAGAAATGGTCCCATGATCTCCAGGCTAAGATTAACCCTGGTTGGACTCTCTTCCATGCTGGTGGTGTCCTTCAGCAGCAGCAGAGATCCTCCTTGTCCTCCTCCTCAGTGTTTTGATGCTCTTCTACAACTGACCTAATCCCTGGATTCCCCCAGTTCCTGTGCCTCTACCCAAGGTCACTTTTCTCTCTGTCCCATAGCTCTGTAGTTCTGCCCAGGAATGGGGAATTCAAAGTGGGGAGGCCCGAGCGAGGCTGAGACCTGCAGCAGATGAGGCTTTGGCAACATGTTGCAGTCCCTTCTGGAGTTGCTTTGCCTGATAAATCCTGGGCATTCACTTGTTTCCCAGGACTGTTTTCTGCTGTGATTTGTGGAAGTCACAAAGCAGGAGACACCCTGTGTCTGGTGCTGCTGCATTGGATGGGCTGAGGTTGGTAAGAAAGCTCCCTGAGCTCCTGACAGTTCGTTGCTGTCAGTGAATGATGGGCAGGAGCTGGGGGCAAGCAGGGCTCACGTGCAGCACCGTCTTCCCTCCTGCTCCTCTCCTGCCCTTATCCCAGAAACAGCAGGATGCCAACAAGAGAGAAGAGCCTGAAAATGGGCCTCCCAGCCCTCTTCAGCCTTTTCTTTGATCCCACTCGCTTCTCCCCTCCTCAGTGCTTGTGCTCTCTCTCACCTCTTGTGTCCATCAGTGATGACTGTGGGGATGAGTCCGGCTTTCCCAGAGTGCTGCCAGTGCTTGGTGTGGGGATGCAGGGCTGGGGGCCAGGCTGGGCAGCAGCAGCAACCCCCGTGTGTGTGTCCTTGTGTGTGTCACCAGTGTCACCAGTTCTGTCCTGTCTCTCCCAGCAGCTCAGGATGTGGCGTCAGAGGCTGGTGGGGCTTCTCCGGCTGTGTGGCAGCTCCAGCCCTGCCTTGCTGTGGCCGCCCGGTGACACCAGGCCCGTCCTCGCTGCTGCCACTCGCTGCCACCACACGGTGCCGGAGTCCCTCAAGTGTGCCTGGCAGTTACACCACGACCACCTCGGTATGTGCTGGCTCCCGTGTCCCTGCTCCCAGGCAGTCCCTGAGAGTGATTTCAGTTACCTGTGCTCTTCTGAAATGGGCTGTGCTAGAGGGGTGCACGCTGGTCTCCATGTTCCCCCGGGAATTCCCAAAGGCAGGACTGACTTTTGTCCTGGGTTTGGAGGTCACTTGGCAACTGAGGCACAGGTTTCCCCAGGACCTGTTTGGTCTGGTCCAGCCTCTGTCTCCTGAGGCCAGTTAGATGTTGGTACTTGGGTCACTCAGAAGCAAGGGGAATTACTTGTTCCTTTATCCAACACAGTGGCCCCAAGAAATGATATTGTTCCTTTCCCATTGCAAAGTGACCTTGGATACTTGGATTCAAAGCTGAGTGGGACTAGAGCAGGAAGCGCTCTCCTCTTTTCTCTGCTGGCTCCCCCTTCTGAAGGGCTTTGAGCATTCCCCAGCTGTCCTGGAATGGAGCAAGGAGGAGAGGCTTTAACACTAAATGGATATCAAGGCCTTGCCTCAAGTTCTTGGTGGGGTTTGTAATCTTTGTGTAGCGTGGATGTTGGGGTGATTATTTGTTTGACTGTTACCTGTATTACTGTACTGGGGTCTGCAGCTAGGTTATGTACAGCTCTGAATTTACTACTTGAAGAGAAATGAAAGAGGTAATTATGTGAGCAGCATGTTAGCTCTACTCCTTCCTGCTGCAGGGTGAGCTAGGTAAGGAGGGAGCCCATGGTGAGCTCAGTGACAGCCAGACCTTCCATGAAGACACTGCTTAGTGTGACAAACCAGCTGTGCATCCCCTGTCATTGGGATCCTAACGTCTGGGCTCAGTTCTGGGTGGTGGTTCTGCCTGTTGGCACCAGTGCAGCTCTGAGCCCGGCCTCCTCTGCAGAGCTCAGGTACGCCAACACGCTGATGCGGTTGGACTTCGTGTGGCTGCGGGACCACTGCCGCTCCGCCTCCTGCTACAATGCCAAGACCAACCAGCGCAGCCTGGACACAGCCAGCGTGGACCTGGCCATCAAACCTAAGGCTGTGCGAGTGGATGAGACCACGCTCTTCCTCACCTGTAGGTAGCAAAGCGCCTGTTCCATGGTTTCTGGGCCACCAGCCATGCTTGGAGGGAGGCTCAGTGGTGGATCCTTGTCTTAGGTGTGCTGGGAGAGGGCAGCCTTGTCTCTAAATCAGTAGCTGTTTTGGGAAGAGATCTGGCCCTAAGCAGATTTTAAACAGTTGCTGTTGCTGTATCGTGTCTTGGTCTTAAATGTGTGCTGTGTTTTCCTCCCCCTCCTTGCCAGTCCTTTTTGGGTAGAGATGTATCTTCAGTGTCTGGTGTTTCACAGGTTGGTTTGAACCCAGCAGCAATGCAGGGAGTGAACAGACTGGTCAAGAAATGGTTGGGTTCCTTTTCCCTGCTGTTTGAGCTGGTATCCCTGGTCAGAACTCGCATTTTCTGTCCTTTCTTCTCAGTTGCTCTCTCCCTTCTGTTGTAACTTACCCTTAGTTACGGGCTGGTCTTCAGTGCTCAACTTCCTCATGGAGTTCTGTCAGTAGAAACCAGAACCACTGAAGTTGAGGCCCTTGGCTCTGAATTTGGCTCCTTGCAGCAGCAATGATGCTTTCAGGACTTGTAGCCTGAACCAGACATTAGTGTGGGTGGCATCAGGGTGCAAAGAGTCTGTCACCAGGCAAAATTAGGGTGAGGACTGTCTGAGAGTGGTGGTTGTGCTGATCGTGCCCTGGGGCTGTGGCAGGCACTGGTGGTGACTGTGACTCTGGTCCTCCCTTCAGGGCCGGATGGGCACGTGACGCGCTATGGGCTGGAGTGGCTGGTGAAGAACAGCTATGAGGGGCAGAAGCAGCAGGTGATGCACCCGCGCATCCTCTGGAATGCTGACATCTACCGCCAGGCCCAGGTGCCCTCCGTGGACTGCCGGAGCTTCCTGGAGACAGATGCAGGGCTGAAGGAATTCCTGCAGAACTTCCTGCTTTATGGCATCGCTTTTGTGGAGAACGTTGCACCCACCAAAGAGGACACAGAAATGGTGGCAGAAAGGATCAGCTTGATCAGGTAACAGGGGCTGCCCTGGGAATGGCACTGACAGCTTTGTCAGGAGCTGGGAAGGGCAGACTGCTCAGTTCTTTGGGAAGGTGCTGCTGCCTTGTCCTGTGCGTCCTGCCTGTGGCCTGGTTTGCAAAGCAAAGGTCTGGGTCTTCCGCAGCCTCTGGCCACTGTGCTTGATCCGAGCTGGAGTGTTGCACTGTGGGATCTGCCCCTTCCTAGGTGAGAGTCTGGATCATGAGGCTGTGGAGCTGCCTCGGGAGCATGTGGTAACTTTTGTGACAGTGGGGCTGTGCGCAGAGAGGAGGAACTGGAGGAAGTGGCCTGTCTGGGAAGAGCAGAGCTTTGCAAAGAGAGGCATTTCCTGTTATGGCTTGGAAGGTTAGGAGGGCAGCCCTGGCCATGGGAGCCAGGGAGATCAGAACCAGTTTGTAGCTCTCACCAAAGAAAAACAGTGAGAAATGTTTCTGCTGTGTTTCAAACAGCCCAACAGCATGGCAGGACAGGGTTTGTGTTTCAGCTCTTGTCCAAGCTGCATAAACCCTTTAACTTGCCTTATGCTGCTGGGAGAGGAGGGATTGCTTCTAATGAGTAGAAATAAATAGAAATGAGGGGTTCCAAGGAATATCCAGGCAGCTTTTTGCTCCAGGTACCCTCCCCCTTAGTACCTGAGCACTGTTTGTCCTCTGTCTGTCTCCTGTGCATGTTGTAGGGGGGAAGATGGCTGAAAACGCAAGATCCTGAGAACAGAAGTGGGTTTGGTGTTTGTTGGCTGCAGACAGGCTGGTTGTGCCCTGGCAGCTCCTCGTGCCGCTCAGGGGCTTCCTTGGTTTGACGGTTGCCATCAGTCTGCTGGGGAGGAGAGTGACAAGTTGAACACTGGAGGAGGCACAAGAAGCAATGTGAATGTTGTTCTGCTTTCATTTCTTCTGTACAGAGGCTAGAGGGGAGTGACCTCAAAGCAGGAGAGGACCTGCTTTCCCACCCCCTGCTCCCTCAGCCCATGCTATAACTGCCCGTCCCTTTTGCAGGGAGACCATTTATGGCAGGATGTGGTACTTCACCTCGGACTTCTCCCGGGGAGACACTGCCTACACCAAGCTGGCACTGGATCGTCACACAGACACAACCTACTTCCAGGAGCCCTGTGGGTGAGTGCTTCTTCTGGGGCTGTGTTGTCTCCAGTGCTGATGCTGGGATGTACTTGTGCTGGTCACTCAGCAATTCCAGGTCCTGTCTGATCCCTGTGCAGTAGGGGGGAGTCTGTAGGTCACTTTTCCCTATGCTTGGGACTTCTGGGGATTCCAGAATGCAGGCAGTGAAGGACTTGGCTGTTAGTGACTGCAGCTTGGTATTGCTGTGGTTCAAGTAGTCCTTGTAGTCCCAAAGGCGGCTCAACTCTGTGGTCGTTCCTGTGCTACCCTGAAGCTTCTCTCCCAGTATTCTCAGTCTCTGAGGTGCCACACAGCATTCGTGGGGGTGAGCAGCTGGGTTGAGGTGTCTTTTGGGTGCATCTGGCAAAGCACAGCTTCCCCTGCAGCAAGTACCCCTCCTGAGCTGTTGCACAAAGCTGCTGCTGCAAAAGTTTGCTTTGCCTTACCCCTGTCAAGTGGGGCGAACCCTCCTCACCCTCACCGGGCCAGCTATGTGGGCCAAGGAGCTTCGGGAGAGGAGGGAGAGCAGCTCCCCTTGGCACACCGTGGAGAGATACCTCAGAGGCCCTGCTCACCTTGCTCTGCACCAGTTTATGCAGGTTGGGGGCTGCATTTTGGCAGGGGTGCAGCCCTGCAGGTAGGCAGAAGCCAGGCTCCCCCAGCTCACACCGCTCTGTGCTTTAAAAAGCATTTTATAGCTGTAGCATTGGTTCACAAATGCTGATTTGCAAACTGCTCTTCTGGTACAGCCTCTAGGGTGTGAGTTTGATATCCAGCTGGAGGTGCAAAGGCAGCAGATCATGGCTCAGGGGGAAGTGCAAGAGACTTTAGGCTTAATTTCTAACCTAAGTAGTGGTTTTATCTGTTTTTATCTCAGTCAAGAGGGGAAATAGCCTAGGGGAGATGTGTGGAGGTACTGTGATCTCCTGCAAATGAGGCTACAAAGAGAAGTCACCCAGTCCACACCTCCTGCCCCGGGGCAGGATCAGCTCTTCCCAAGTGAGGCTGTAACTTGCTAAACACCTGAATGGGAAAGGTCTGCAGTGCGGAGCTGGAAAAGCAGAGGGGGACCAAGGGGGGAGATCTGTTGACTGCAGGTGGATCTCAGAGCAGCCGAGCCCTGTCTGTGCCCTGCTGGGCAGGAAGCTTTTGGGAATCAGCTCGATGTCAGGAGCGAAGTCAGCGGATTTGACTGTGCGCTGCGCAGCTGAAGTATACAGAGCACAGAGCACAGGTCCTGCCCCACACTGGATGTAGTTGGCTTCTCTGTTAGTTAACAGCTGAGTGCAGAGGCCATGGTTTGCAGTGACCTGCCTGGTGTGACCTGCTTGGCTGACTTGGTTTAGGAGCTCACAAAATCTTCCCCAACATCAGATAAGATCAGAACTTCAGCCTTCAAAGGGGCTTTGATGTAACTGCTCGGTGCCAGAACTATAGAGCTCATTATCTCTTTTTGTATCTTTCTTTTCCACTTGGAAGGGTTCCCTTCAGGTAGGGAACCTTCCATCTGCAGCCGGCTGAAGTGCATCAAGCAAAGGCAACATGGGCTTAATTGATAGGGCTAACCATTAGTGCCTGTAGTTCTGCAAAGCCAGAGTTGTGCAGGAAGAGCATGAATTTCTGGCTTTCCTGAGCCATCATCTCTGCCAGAAATCCTTTCTTCCCAGCCTCTTCAAGACTTGCTTCCAAACCGCTTGAGTCTTTGACCTGCTTCTAAGCGAAATGAGGCGTTTTTCAAGAAAGATGTGTTCATTTCAATGTGCTTCCTCCCTGCTGCTTTGGCTGAGACCTGACAAGTCTCAGCTTAAGTTATTACAAAGGGTAGATAGAAAACCCCCAAGCTATGGGAAAGACTGCAACATTATCCAGCTCCTCAGGTGCCAAAGAGCCTGCCCAGAGAAGAGGCTTCTTCAGAGCCCTGAGCTGCAGGAGGAGGTTGTTGCCTTGGAGGCACAGAGTGGCCTTTGCTCCAGTGCTCCTGCACTGACTTTATAAAGGGTGAATAGAGCACCCAGGTGAAAAGGTGCTGGTGAGTGTGCAGCTGGGAGGTGCTGCCCCATCGCCTGCTGTGGAACTGGGTTCAGAGGCCCTGAAGGGAGAGCAGAAGGTAACAGTTCATTTTCTAACAAGGGAAGGTGGCTGGAGGCAGCTCCTGGGTGTTTGCTTCTAACAGCGCAATGCCTGCCTTGCTTGGACAGAGGGGAAGAGAAGCTTCCGAGCAGTAATGGTAGGACAGGAGCTGAGTTGGATGGTTTCCCACTAGGGAGGGATGTGCCTGTAGGTAAGATGCTCGCTGGGGACTCCTCCAGGCTTTCCAAAGGGCCTTTAATGTGTTGCCTTATGGGAGACAATAATGTATGTGCCTTTGAATGAGAGCCACCCTGGACACCCTCATACTTCTTGACAACTTCAACAGTACAACCAGCATTTCTTTACTGTCCTCTTGTTCTGAGATGGTGTAGATTAGGCCTTAAGAGGTGGCAGGCAGAGCTGTTAACTGCTGGTCTGTCTCCATTCCCTGGCAGGCCTCAGTGAAACCAGAAGGGTGGTTGCATGCACCTGCGCCTGATGGGGAGCACCTTCTGGCCATGGGACAGGCAGCCCAAGTGTCTTCATGCTCTGGTTTCTCTTGCCCATGCAGCATCCAAGTGTTCCACTGCCTGAAGCACGAGGGCACGGGTGGGCGGACGCTGCTGGTGGATGGTTTCTATGCGGCAGAGCGGGTTCTCCAGTGCGCCCCAGACCAATTTGAGTTGCTCACCAAGGTCCCGCTGAAGCACGAGTATGTCGAGAATGTGGGAGACTGCCACAACCACATGATTGGAATTGGGCCAGTTCTCAATGTCTACCCCTGGAACAACGAGCTTTATCTCATCAGGTAACACCCATGTGAGGCCTCTTGCTAATGGGAAGGAGAGGGGATTGTGATAGACCAGGGAAGGTTTTCAGGAGGTATCCTGAACTGACACCTAATGGGAGGTGTCCCTGCCTGGGACAGGGCTTGGAACTGGATGAAATTGAAGGTCCTTTCCAACCCAAACCAGCCTGTGGTTCTATGAATAAGCAATCTATATCTGAGGGGCAGTGGTGAAGCCACAGGAGCAGCCCGTGTTTCCTCCTGGGCTGTGCACTGCTGCTTTAGAGAAGGTGTCAGAACCACCTATACAAGGATGGGTGTCAGTGCTGAGCTCTGGCTTTTCACTCCTCTCATCCTCACTTCAGCTCCATGCCCCCATCTCCTTTCATTTGAGAGGCAGTAGGATTCAGCCCTTCTTTGAAAAAGCCTCTAGGAAGCAGCCTGGCATACAGGCAGAGTGTGGATTTCCAAAGGAAATTTGGGCTGCTTGCTGCAACTCCAGCCTGGCTGAGTGCAGGAGCCTGTCCAGCACTGCTTTGCACTCTTACTCTGACAGCCTGTGGCCTTGCCCTTTGCTGTGGCAAATCCTTCCATAGTACACCAGCAAGAACAGTTTTACACTTGGTAGCATACTCCTTGCTCCCAGTGCTGGGTATTGTCCTGACAGTCCTGCACTTGCAGTGTAACCTCTCATGTCCTCTCTCTGGAGTCCCTTAAACGCTGCCTAGTCCCCCAGGCTCCTGCGGTTCCCTGTGGGAATACCTGGCTGTGCTCCTGGAGCCACGTGGGCAGTCTCTGACCTCTTCTTTGCTTGTAGATACAACAACTACGATCGTGCTGTCATCAACACGGTGCCGTACGACGTTGTGCACCGCTGGTACGCTGCTCACCGCACTCTCACCACTGAGCTCCGGAGACCAGAGAATGAGCTCTGGGTCAAACTGAAGCCAGGCAAGGTAGGGCTTGGAGCTGGGAGACTGGCCTGGGTTTTGTGCAGGGAGGGAAGCAAGGTCCTTTGGATGTGCTTGCTGCCACTGAGGTGGCTGCTTCAGGCAAGCTCCACATACTGCAGCTTGCTTCGCAGCTCTTCTAAGGTGGCCTGTATTACAGTACTGGCATCTCTTGTGGGGGGGATGTGTTCCTCCTGTTCTAACAGAATATGAGCTTCCAGGTAAGGCAGAAATGTTTAGTTGAAACCCTGCCTAGGTTAGAGGAGAGGAGAAAGATCTTCTCAGTGGCTGCAGTGAGGATCCTCGGAAGCAGAGGGGCTGGGAACACCTGGTGTTCGACCTCTAGCTTCTTCCAGAAGAAACTTCCAGTGTGATTGAAATACACAGGTGTAGGAAGCAGAATTTACTTCTGCTCTGAGGTTTATCTTTGAACCCTCACATTGCCAGTGACTCACAGGAGACCTGGGCAGTGTCCCAGAAGCAGCTGAGATGCCTTAGCACACCTTGGTATTGGAAGGAAAAAGCTCTGCCCTGTGCTCTGAAAGGCTGATGCTGGGTTCAGCATTGGAGGAGCTTGAAGAGCTGGAGCCACAGTTGCAGACCTGAAGGTGTTGCAGTGCATAGCTTCTTCCTTCAGCTGTGTCTGCTTGAAGGGGTTTTATTCCTTCAGGGGCTAGATTCAGCTTGAGCCCAGGGCCCCAGAAATGAAAGGGTCCAGGGGGGAAAAGGATGATCTTAGAGCCCCCCAACCCTTGTGTTCCTGAGGATGCCGGGGGGAAGTGATGCTCTAGAGGCAGGAGATGGCCCCTTTGCTTCTGATGAACTATTGCCCAGGCTCTCCAGTAGAAAAGCCAAGAAACAGCCCAGCATGCATCCCTGTGCTTTGCTAGCCTTCATGTTTTAACTCCTGGTGAGCGGCAGAGCAGAACTGCTGCTTCAGGTAGAGCAGCTGTGCTAGATCACATGAAACATCTGGCTGTGTTCTCGTGCTGTGTGACAGTGGGGAGCAGGAGTGCTCATGCCCCCCCTGGCAAACCCTCCCCTGCTCTTCCAGTCTTGAGGGACCTCCAGCTTTCAGAGCTGTCCTGCCAGAGGGTCCTGGCCATGGTGGCTGCCCTGCTGATGGCCTCCTCTCTGCTCCTGCAGGCCCTGTTCATAGACAACTGGCGTGTCCTGCACGGGCGGGAGGCGTTCACCGGGTACCGCCAGCTCTGCGGCTGCTACCTGACGAGGGACGATGTGCTCAACACCGCGCGCCTGCTGGGACTCCAGGCTTAGCCCGGCCACGTGCACGGGGACCTGCTGGTGTCACCCCGATGATGTTGCACATACCTCAAACCCCTCCACCCTCTCTGAGCCATTCCCGGTGCCTGCTCAGGAGAGGGAGCAAGCCAAAGAAACTTGTGGGAGCTCTGTGGGACCTTGTTCTTTCTGCCTTTGAGCACAGCCACCTCTTGCTGTCTGCACCCAGCCTGGTTGCTCCAGCCCCTCAGACTGTCTTGGCTCTGCCCAGAAAGGGCTAATTGCTCCATGGGAAGTGCTCCTCCAACCAAGTGCCTTCAGGATTTGGACTCTTTGCATTTATTCCTGCTGTTCAGCCTACTGCCAGCTGTAGTTCCAGGTTTTTGGGTTGTTTTCTTCAGCAGAGCACAGTGGAAATCTTTGGGGCTTTGTCTCACCCCAGTCTGGACTTCTTCCCTTCTAGAGAAAAGGAAAATCCGGCCCCCGTTTGATGTGAACATGCCACTACTCAAACTGAGGGCTGTTGGCAAATTTCAGCGGCTTCTTAAACGTACCACGTACCCCGAGAGCAGTGACTGATACAAGCTGTGCTGGTGGAGAGGTGGCCTGCAAAGGGAGAACCCCCTCTTGGGAGGGTTTTTCTGAAGAGCTTTAGGTTAGAAGGAACAGAAGTAGCAAGAGCTGCATGTTGGGAAGGAGAGCTGTGTTACATGAGGGATGTAGGTCTCGTGTTTCCTTGACTTCCAGTAATGCCACGTGTGTGTTCTTGTGTTTGAATTGAGGGCGAAGGCTCAGCAGCCACAGGATTTTCTCCACCTGTGCCTGCTCCTTTCCTGAAGAAGGGCTTTGTGTAAGGTTGTCATTTCACCAGCTGCTGGATGGGGATGACCAGTCTGGGGGGTGGTTTCCCCAGATCCTCCTGCGTATGGAGGCAGTGAACACAGAGGTGCCTTTCAGCTCCGGCTAGCTGGGGGATAAACTGGTCTGGCACATCAAAGGGATGCAGTGTAAAGAACAAAGGCAAATCCTGTTGTTACTAGAAACACTGGAATGCTAGAAACGTGGGTATTTAAGAGGGGATAAAGAGGGGATTTTAGGATTTGTGTCTTTGGAGGTGTCTGCTCTTCTATACTAGACCTTAAACCAGGGCTAGTCCCTTTCACCCCTGGCCCTCCTGTGCAAGCAGGGTGCTCTTGTGTCCAGGGTACAAGTGCTACATTTGCTGCCTTCATTTAATCTAAACACTGACTGTATGGATTCTAGCGCTGAGAGACTCCTGCAAGTGTGGCCTGAGCTGCCTGAGGCTGACTTCCACAGTATTTCCCACTGCCGCAGGCACCAGGAGCTTCCCAGGGAAGGCTTGGCAGGGAGCTGTGGATCAGAGGGGAGGGGAGTGAGGGGCGGAAACACGAGCCATGTTGGCAGGTAACAGCAGCCCAAAGTGAGCTGGTTCTGTCAGGTTCATCTCTCCAGGATGGGTTCCCATTGCTGTGAACAGCAGCCTCAGGCACAGGCAGGAATTGAGTATTGCTCTAGGCTGAGGCAGTGAATTCCCCGAGCAGCCTGCAGCATCCAGTCTGTTACTGGCTTTGGCAGTTCCTCCTTGAGTGCCAGTTTCACCGGCACAACGTAGCTGGGGAGTTTCACACATCTTCATTGATGGTGTGGAAGTAGCAAACCCCAGTGGTTCCATACACAGTCCCACTCTGGTGCTCCGGGGGTGGCTTTCCCCTGTGCTGCTGGGTGAAACCATGGCTGGGAGTGTGGTGGTGACAGCAAACCATCTCTGTGTTCTGAACCAAAGGATCAGTATTTGAACGCCTGGAGTGGTGGGGTCCTCTCACAAATTATTTGGTGATACCAAGGGTTCCTGAGCTCTTTTTGCCTCCCTGTGCCTCCAGGATGTGGGGAATACTGTGGACGTCAGCTTTACCTGCCGCTGCCCTGAGCTGGGGCTGGCACAGGTGTGTTGGTGACAGGTCATGGTGACGTAGGTGCCTTCCTGCCTGGGAACGTGGTGGCTGTCACTGCTCACCCTGCTGCTGCCAAGGGCTGTGCTCTTCAGACATCAGCCTCCTCTTAAGAGCCAACGCCAGGCCAGCACATTCCTCCGGGGGCCTGAGTAACCTCTCTGGGGGGAATTGCTTATGGCGAATGTAGAAGAAACACATTTCCTCATCGGTGTTACTCTAATGTAGCAATAAACCATGGAGTGGAGAGGGCTTTGTTTAAATCCTGAGCTTCATCTCCCCCTGCTTCCCATGAGGGCTAAATTCTTCTTGTGCAGCTTTATCTGGAGGACCAGGGCTTTTTGGCAGTCAGTGCCTGGCGAGCCAAGCACTTGCTGTGCGTGTCAGGGAACAGGCTCTCTGCTGTAATGCTACTGGATCAGGTTTCATAATCGAGTTATTTCAGCCAATAAATGATGAACTGCTTCCTTCTCCTTCCCCTTCCCTAGTGATCCAATGGGTGTGTTTAAGGCCTTTTCCAAAGCTAAGCCCCAAGTCTCTAGATAAATTATTTATAATGTGATCATCTTAACAAAATACCCATTTCAAGCAATCAGGAGCTTGAAACTGTATTGCCCATCAACGTGGAATAAACGTGAGGAGCAGTAACCAAGGCGGCTCGGTTGCATTCTCATCGTTCGTTCTTCTGTCGGCCACAAGGTGGCAGAAGAGGCAAGGAATCGTCCCTCTCGACGTGGGTTTAGGATTAGCGGTGCCCCTTTGCATCCCGGCCTGATTTGGGAAGAGGGGACCTTAGGGCCCATCCAGTTGAGACCCAGCACTGGTGTTTTGTGTCCTCCGGGTGCCCTTGGGATCAGTCCCCTCCGTCTTGGCTGTGCAGCACAGCCCCTCATTCAGCTCTCGGTGCTCTCAGAGTGCTCAATGTGGTGAAACCGGAGCCCCCCCATTTACCTGCTGGTCACACCAGGAACCCCATTTGCCCCCAGTACACCTCAGAGCTTCCTGTTCCCCCCACAGTGTACCCCAGAGCCCCCAGCTCACCTGCAGGTCACAGGGCTGCACTGGTGCATCCCCCACCTCAGTCCTCCATGTTAGCACTTGGGTCCCACTGGAGGCTTTCCATGGGGAAGAGAAGCACAGGGGCTGTGCACAAAAGGAATGGGAGGTGAGGGCGTTGGGAAGGGGTGTCTTTGGGAGCAGTGAGAACTCACTGGGCTCTCTGACGGGGTGGGGGATTTGTGAGGAGGAAGCCAGCAGGAGCCTGCTGCCTGTCCCATTTACATGATCCTCATAGGCGAAGGTACCATTGTTATCTTTGATTGCTGGCTGTTTCCAGGCTAAAAGGAAGGAACTTTCCTCTTTCCAATTTGTCCTTCTCCAAAACTGGGTGGTTTTTGAGACTTTCAGCTTTCCCTGAGCAGGGACAATCCTATGGAGCCATGGAGGTGTCCAGGGGTTGTTCTGCCCACCCTGAGCTGCAAGTCTGCATCCTGAGAGAGGAAGATGCCTGGTGCTGGCTCCCAGCTCCTTCCTGGGCCCTGCAGAGGTTTGTGACCAGCAGCTTCCACCCCTGTGACCATGCCCTGGGCCAGGAGGCGCAGGCACTTCCCACGGAGATGGCCACTTGCTCCATCCCAGTCCTCCCCAGTAAGTCCAGGAGGATCTGAGCACAGGGCTGGGGACCAAATGCTGAGAAGAGGGTGTTCAAAGAGGGCTCTCTGCAGCACCCATGCCCTGGGGCTATTCCTGGGCATGTGAAAGGAGGCATTTCCTGCTGGGAAGAGTTCTCTTGTGCTGTGCTTTCATGAAAGCAAGCACCTCACTGGCTGTTTGCCTTTAGGTATTAGAGAAATGTGTGGTTCCCCTGAGCTGGAGGAAAGATGAGGATTGATTTTGGCCATGCAAAGCTCTTCCCTGAGAGCACGTTCCTGCTGCTGCTGCTCACTGACAGTGTCACCTCCAGGTGCAGACCCAGCCAGGACACATCACCCAGGCAAGTGCAGGCGATGTGAGTGGGGGCAGCAGTAATTGGGCTGACAGTGATGGCCTTGGCCATGCTGGTGGGCAGGAAGGATGGGGTGAGAGCTGGGACGTGTTGTGTTCCCCTGTAGGTGATGGGCTCTGCCATGAAGGTTGGTGCTTCACGGTGTCGTGGGCATTGCTTACATAGTCGCATTTTAGCATTTGTACACTTTTAATCCCTGTTTGTTACTCTTGGTGCTTTGCAAATCCTTATCACAGTTCTCTCAGGGCTTCTCAAGCCCTGCTGGAGCTGGAGGAAAGCTTAAATCCTTCATCTTCCATTTCCCAATGAGCCTTGTCCTGCCTTTGCTGCGGGTGCTCAAGGTCCCCATCTCAGAGCTGGGGGGAGGCTTCCCCTGCTGTTGCTGGGTGATGCTGCTTTAGCAGCGCTGAGCCCTGGTGCTCTCACCTTCTGCCCTGGCGTCACTCGAGGCTCTAAAACAGGATCACAGAAGGGTCCCAGACACTCCCCCTCTTGCCCAGGTCCCACCACCAGCAGCTGGAGCAGTCTGTGAGCTGAGGCAGGAAGAAAACCTGGGCCCACAGTGAACCCCTGTGCTGCACCGGGGCCCGAGGAGGAGTCGCCAGCTTCCTCCCTGGCTGAGCTGACAGCCCTGGCACTGAGCGGAGCCGTGGTGACCATCAGCCCCAGCTTCAGCTCCTCTGCTGTGACCCAGAGATGCTGTCGTCCGGCCGGCGCTGGCAGAGCCTCAGCTCCATCCTGCCGCTCCTTGGTGAGGCTGGGCTGGGCTGGGGATCCCATGGGATGGGCTGTGCTGCCGGGAGCAGCCCAGTGGAGGGGTGATGCTGGTGGGGCTCCTTGGCTGGGTGACAGTGACAGCTCAGTGGTGGCCCCAAGACTGCCATTCCCATGACATGTGCCCTTGGGGACTTGCCCTGGCTTCAGTGCCAGCAGGGTCATGGTGGAGGCTGCTGCTCCATCAGCTGGTAGATGAAGAGCAGGAGTGGGGTTTGCTTTTGCCTTCCCACTTCCTGTTGGAGCACAGGGACTGGGAGCTCCTTCTGGTGTAGGTGGCCAGAGGAGCAAACCTGGCTGTGAAATGGTGCAGTGCAGTGCAGTGCCAGGGGACAGATAACACTGAGTGTTGAGTGATCAGAGTTCATCTCTCAGCCTTCTCTGGGGCACTGCCGTGGTTCACAGCCAGCTCCCTGCAAGCCCTGGAGAGGCAGACCCCTTTGCTGCCAGAGCTTGGATCCCCTATAAAGCATCAAACCCCAGGGTGGTTTGTGTTGAAAGGGATCTTAAAGCTCCTCCAGCTCCAACCCCTGCCACGGGCAGGGACCCCTTCCACTGGAGCAGCTTGCTCCAACCCCCTGTGTCCAACCTGGCCTTGAGCACTGCCAGGGATGGGGCAGCCACAGCTTCTCTGGGCACCCTGTGCCAGCGCCTCAGCACCCTCACAGGGGAGAGCTCCTGCCTAAGAGCTCATCCCTCCCTGCTTCCCAGTCTCATGCATTCGTGTGCACTCCCTCAGGGCTGGGTGTACCTGATGGGCTGAGCCAGTTTTGCACCCATTGGTGCTGGAACCAATGCTCCCCCACCACTATGGTGGGTAAAGCCATCTGGGCTTTACGCAGCTGCTGCCTCTGCCAGCTCTTTGTTGCGTGCTGATGATCAGCAGCTCTGGACCCCTCTTGATCCCAATACGACCTCTGGAGAAGTCCCACCTTTGGTGTTTTCTTTGTACTTCTCTAGGCCTTGCATGTGAAGGAGTCTCACATGGTGGAGGAGTCTCATGGACGTGGAGGATGTAGTGAGCATTTGCTTCCAAATTGGAGGCAGCGTTGACCAGCTGCAGGTGAGGCTGACACCAGAGGTCATGTATGCACGCATCAAGGCATCCTGATCCACCAGAACCAGTCACTGGACCTCCCACCTCCTGCTGTGACTGTGGAGCTGCCTCGAGCAGGAGCCTTGCAGAGCATCACTGTGCCTCCAAGCAGAGAGGATGTCTTTGTTGCTGATGCTGCACCCCCAGGGCTCCCCCTCCAGCAGCTACCCATGCTAAGCCTTGGCTGGAAATGATTTAGAGCAACGGGAATGCATTAGTTTGCCTGGAAAGTCCCTCTTGAATTTGAAGGATGAGCTGGTTTCAGCTTCTCCTTGAGACTTCCTGGGAATACAGTCACTGAAGGAAAAGAAAGATGCTGAAAGCAAATCAGTGGGAGCTTGCTGCCACGGACTCCCCTTAGTTACAGGGTAACAGAGAACATTGCATGGATTTTAATCATGAGTCCCGGGTTCATTACCCAAAGTCTTGTCATTAAAAGGATACATGAAGATCCTTTGTCCTGAGAAGTTGTCCGTATGTTTGTAAGTAATTGCTGAGTAATGCAGTTCGCTTGAATTCACAATCCCAGGGCAACAGCTCCTCTGTTGTTCTGAAATGTCCCCATTGTAGCACAAGGAGCAGGGGCTTTCTGTGCAGTGGAGTTCTGGCACAAAATGCCACTTGCTCAGAAGGGGGGGATGCACGTGTGGAAGGCAGCTGAGCCACGTAATTCCAGTTTAAAGGGCTGCATCTCCCTCAGCAGCAGCAGGATTTTCAGGCATCTTTAAAAATGCAGGGAGGGCACACATGGAGTTCTGTTTCTGTCTGGCTTTCAGGGAAAGCCAGGCAGTATGTACCCTGCATGCTATGGAAGGGTGAGAGCCTTGGGCACGTCCTGACCACAGTTGCTCTTGGCACATACTGCGATGGAGAGGGGTGATGGGTGATGTGCAGATTGACTCCACGACTCGCTGAAGCTGTAAAGTAGGTACGCTTTTATTCAGCACTGAGACGCACGGGGATAATTCCTCAAAGTCATGCGTGCCTCAGTGTTGTTTCCCACTACATTTATAAGGTTGCACCATACGCCTATACATATTCATGTCCTATCCCCGCTTTGTATTACAATGAGCTAGAAGGTCCTTTGCACCTGTGCAGTGCTCCCTCTGGTCATGGGCAGGGGTCTCAAGATGAAGTAAATGAGTCTTCCTCTTGTGGGCAGGGGTCCTCAAGATGAAGTCAATGAGTCTTCCTCTTCTTGAACTTTTCACCTTTTAGTCCTTATGTATGGCCTTAGGGTTTGGTTGGTGTCCCAGCCATAAACCATCTGCTTCTCCCCCTTATCAGTAGATTCAGGGGTCTGCTTTTCCTTATCAATAACTGCTTATCAGTAGAATCAGACATCTGCTTTTCCTTGTCAATAGAACCAGGTGTCTGCTTTTCCTTATCAATAGCTAGTGCCTTTGTTCTGATTAGTAGGCATGATAGGTGCAGACAATACCTTTGTTTAAGCAAGTGAATTCCTCTAACCCCCTTGTACAACCCCCTTGTACAACCCCCCTGTACATTGGTCAACCCTCTGCATCAACGGGCACAGCTTCCTCCTGGGGAGATCCCAACTGGACACAAGAGGAACATGTTTCACCATGAGAACTATCAGCCATTGAATCATCTCCCCCGGGAGGTGGTGAAATTCCCAGGGGAACTGGACGCTGTTGAGATCCTGCTGGACAGGGGCTGGGCCAACCTGTGCTCCAGCTGGCAGCGTTGGGAGCACCATGATCTCAGAATGCTGCACTTGGGGCTGTGGTTCAGCCTGGGGAGCAGCAGCTCTCGCACAGCTGCAGCCGGGCTCTCACCTCCCTGTGCACGAAGCAGGGAGGAACCTGCAGGGCTTAATCTGGATGGAAGAGGTGAGAGGAGCCCAGGCTGGCCCCATGTGCTCCACAGTGCTCTCTGGTCCCTCCTGCTTCTACCTTGTCTTCTCCACTTCTCTGCCCCCCCCCACCCCAGGCCCCCACTAAAGATGTCTCCTTCACCTACACTGTGCCCTCACCTGTGTGTTTAACCCACGCTGCAGCCATACCAGCTGCCTCTGCTCTGTCACTGCCTTCTCTGAGCAGCTCCTTGCAGAGCTTGCCCCGTCCCTGCCCCTTCTTTGCTCTTTGGAGCTCTTAGAAGTCAGTGTGGTTTTCCCTGTGGCTGCAAATGGCTCAGTGCTGGTGGAGATCAGGCCCTTTCTCTGGCTGCACTTAGAGCAATCTCCCTCTCTGGATAAGTGTAGCTTTGTATCTGAGACCTCAAGTGTCACCCCGGTTCTGCTGCTTGTTATTGTTTATTCCTCCACATTTTCACCCATCCCAGGTGGCTGAACATCATCCTTTGAAGCTAGTGCTGAATGGAGGGGGGAGACCAGTTGACAAAGGACGCGGTCAAGGCACCCAGTGTCTTCACATTGGATTTTACCAGCAAGACTGGCCTTCAGAGAGCACCCACATCAGTGGGACGGGATGAGGTCAGGAGCAGCACAGCACATGCCAGTGGGCCCTGAGGGGATGTGCCCCTCAGTGCTGAGGGAGCTGACAGCACCATGAGACCGCTCCTGGTAAGCTCTGGGAAGAGGTGGGAGACACTCAGGGGCTGCAGCAGTGTGGGAGGGGGAAGAGAGAAGGGCTCCTGCTCATCAGCTTCCTTCACGTCTGCTGACGGTCACCTGCTCCTCTCACCTCTCCCCAGCCACAAGAAGCCGCTGGCCCCAAGCAGCGGGCGAGCAAACGCTTCCTGGCAGCTGCTGTGGGCAGGTTGGTGCTGCTTGCTCTCTTCTTTGGGCTCTCCCGGCCCCTCAGAAGGAGCAACACAAGAGCCAGAAAAGCTTTTAATATACTTGTGTGGAGTTAACCAGGAGCAGGAACCTGCCCTGGTCTGGCTTGGAGCTCTTCTGAGATTCAGAGGGAACATGGTTTTAGAGTTTCCTTCCAGCAACCTGGAAGGATTAACGTGGCTGGAGGGGCCTGACTGATACAACTGCTCCTTGGCGCAGTCAAATTAAGAGGGGGACATGGGTGATGGCAACATGGTGGGTGGGCAGCACTCATCTATGCCACCTCATCCTGCCTGCAAGCAAGTGAACTATGAGCCTGGAGAGCCAAAGCTTCATCCTTCAGTGTCTTTCTGAAGACACCTTTGAGTGAATGCTTACTCTGAATGCTGCTGTTGCACAGTGGTCCATCCATTGCAGCTGCCAAGGGCTACCCAAGAAATGTGCTACTTCCATGGAGGGGACAGGGCTGTTCCTTTTCACATGTCCTGCTCATGTGCCCAACTTCAAGTTGCTTTTAACTCAAGTTACTGCATGCAGAATGTGACATGTGATGGGACCCTACAAGAACCTGGCACTGCACTGAGGAACCACGTGCATGAGAATAGAGAACCTGCTGGGCACAGGGAGAAGGGGAGGTTAAAATAGAAATGAGAGTGCTCAGCTGGCCACAGCCAAGGGTAGAGGCAGGGTCTGAGTGGAGCAGCCTCCCCTTTAGCAGCACCCCCCCCACCAAAAAAAGCCTCCCCCTCTTTGTACTGGGCCAATTGCAAGCTCCGCTCACCTTAAAGTTCATTGTCCTTCCACCAGTGTCTGCAGCTGGGGCTGCCTCAGGACAAGCAGCCTGGCCAGGGACTGGGAACCTACTGAGACACAGATGTGGCAGGTTACAGAGAGAGGAGCACCAGACCTCAGAGCTGGTGTGAGAGGTGCAGATGGGTTTCACCAGGGCCGAGGTGGGGAAATGAGAAACAACCACACTTCTCAGGCACCCACAGGGAGCATTGGAGACCTCTTGCAAAGCCAATAGCTAAAGCCAAGCTTGGCAATACCAGCTAAAGCTGCGACTGGCTCAGTAATGGTGTCAGGCCAAGGGGAATGGCTTGAACCTGCCAGAGGGGAGACTGAGATGAGCTCTTAGGCAGGAGCTCTTCCCTGTGAGGGTGCTGAGGCGCTGGCACAGGGTGCCCAGAGAAGCTGTGGCTGCCCCATCCCTGGCAGTGTTCAAGGCCAGGTTGGACACAGGGGCTTGGAGCAAGCTGCTCTAGGGGAAGGTGTCCCTGCCCGTGGCAGGGCTTGGAACTGGAGGAGCTTTAAGGTCCCTTCCAGTGCAAACCAGGCGGGGATTCTGTGCTTTCTCATGCCACGGGTGTTCATTTGACCTCAGGGCAGGGCAGTGATCTGGAACATCACCTGTCATCTCTGTTGCTGCAAGAACTGGAACAGGTACCTCTCCTGGAGGCAGCTGGGATATTCTCCTTGCTTTGGCCTCGTCAATCTAGCTCAGCATTTCCTTGAGTGGGGGCTGCTCCCAGGGCTTTCCTGACCAATAGGGAGAGCCTTGGGATCTGCGGCTCCCCGCTGCCGTGTGGGCAGGGAGCAGGCAGCTCTGCTTTCCCACTTGCAGCAGCATCAGGGGACGCAGGAGCCAGAGCCGGGAGCTGCCACTGGGAAGGCTCCGGGAAGCATCTCCAGACAGAGGAGCAGGAGAGGAGGCGGCAGGGAAGGAGAGGAGCAATTGTCAGGAGAACAGGCTGGGATTACCCCAGCGCTGCACCAGGAGCACCGGAACTCCTCACCCGGTACAGCCTGAGCTGTTCTCACAGCGGGAACTCCTGAAGGGCTGTTGGGAAAGCAGGGCAGTTCTGGGCCGTTTTTCCCTGGCAGATGCTGACGTATCATCCCATGGAGCTGCTGGGGACCGGCTGGGTGCTCCTTGCAGGTAAACAGTCCACAGGCTGGGGTGGGTGCTGATGCTGTCTGCGTCCAGATCCTTGCCTGGTGCAAGCCCACAGAGAGCCTGAGGCTTCAGCACAGTTCTGCAGCTGAGCAGGGGGATGTCTGGTCAATAGGAGGCTTTTTAGAGGGGGCAAATGCTTCACCTGAAAGGGGAAGATGTCTTTGCTTCACTGTGCAAAGACAGAGAAGGCAGAAGCAGCCCAAGGGCCAAGTACAGTGCCAAGGCTAAAAGCCTGCTGCAGATTTGTGCTGGGGCTGATGTATGTAATAACACAACATTTATTGCAGTTTTACTTATGTGAAGAGCCTCAGTGTGGTCCTTATATATGCAGTGGCTGCCTTGAAGTGCACAGGTACAAAGAGTTTTCAGGGTGAGCATCTAAAAGAGAAAAGAAACCTGTCAGAATGCACCTAGGTTTCTGATGCTGTTAGTGAGCTCCAGGTGCCTATTGGATGATCTTCGGATATTGCAGTTGTGAAAGCTGCCTGAGATGAAGTGTTTGCTCTTCCCTTCTGCTGGTGGTGCCGCATGTCCTGTATGAACAGGGTTATCCTACAGCGAGGGGGCTTTTAGCCATGAGGCTGTTTCTTCCTCTCAGGCTGGGTAACAGCGAGGGTGGCTGGGGCGGGCAGGCACGGCAGGAGCCGTCTCTCGATGCTGTGGGGGTGAGAGATGGAAGCCATCGGGTGAGCTGGATTCACTGGTTCCTTTCCCACCTGCAGAGCTGCCGGGAGCAGCAGGCAGGGTGCAGGGGCTGCTCTCGGGCTGTCTGCATGGGCAGCAAACACTCATGAGCATCCACTGATGAGGCAGAAACGGGGGCACCGGGAAGCAAATGGGGTGTGTGGGGAGCCAGGGCGCCGTGTCCCACCTGCCCAGTGTTCCAGTGCTGCTGGAGCCTGTGTCCCGGTGGGGAAGCCTGGCTGCGGGGCTGCGGCTGGGACAGGCTGATGCTGGTCCCTGTCTCTGTGAGCCTCGGAGCTGATGCTCCTGTGGAGCAGTTACACAGGAGAGAAGGAGCTTTAGGAGAAATCATGGCACTCCAACAGAGCAGCGCCCCGGGAGTACCAGGAACACTGCTAGCAAGTAGCTGGATGGACCGCTGCCTGTGCAGATAAACACCTTTCCTTCTGCTTCCTCTGCCCGGAGCTGGCTCCTTGCTTTAAACCCTTTACATTCACCCTTTAAAACATGTATCTTTTTACGACTTCACTTCCCAACCCAGGGTTTTAGTTGTGATTCTACCTGGCTTTTCTAGAAAGCTCTGGTTTTTGTTTGGTTGGGGGGGGGGGAGGAAGGGGGAGCAAAAACCGCAGGGGGTGACACTATGATTTACCCTCCTCCTGAAGTCCCCAAGTGCCTCTTAAAGCCCAAGTGATGATGAACCCAGAAATCACCCTGTGATTTGAGGGAGGCAGCTCTGCTGGGAGTGGATGGACACCTTCAGCCCCAAACAAGGCTGAGAATTGGGAATGAACCGTGGAAACTAGGTCAGAACTAGAAAATTTGTTCTTGGCATGGACTGGGAGGGAACTCCACCTAAAACGCACGCAAAAGTGGAGTAGAACAAGCTTGCAGCTCTGCAAGCAGAGAGCTCCAAGCATCTTGAGCTGTGTTTCGGCATCCGTATCTGCTCCAGCTGGAATGTCTCCTTGCCTGGAAACGTGATGAGAGATGGCTTTGTGAGAGGCTGTGACCAAGTAGTCCAGGTACCACGTGTGTGCCCCTGGCATCCACGTACCAAAGCCTCTCCCCAGCCATGCCAACCTGCTCCATCTCCCCAGCTCATCTTCTCCTCTCCCACCCTCCAGGGCTGCTGGTGCCTTTGCAACAGGCTGCAGAAATCTTGGAACCCCTCAAGAGTAAAGTTGCTGCTGTGGGATCACCAGTGCTGCTTCCTGGGCTGGGTAATGTCACTCAGGTCTACTCCATGCAGTGGGAATATCTCAATGGCACCAGCTCCCACACCATCCTGCAGTACTACAGGGGGTCCCACAGCCCAGCCATCCACGCATCCTACACAGGACGAGCTGTTTTCCATCCATCCAATGGATCTCTCCTGCTCGAGGGTGTCCAGGAAAGTGACAGTGGCATCTACAAAGCAACTGTCAACATGGGAGAGAGGGAGAGCCTGAAAATCCTGCTGGAAGTCCTCAGTAAGTGGTGGGCATGGGAGGAAAGAACAGGGTAATGGGTGCAAGCAGGGCAGGGGCGTTACCTAGAATCATAGAATCATAGAATTAGTTAGGGTTGGAAAGGACCTTAAGATCATCAAGTTCCAACCCCCCTGCCATGGGCAAGGACACCTCGCTCTAAACCATATCACCCAAGGCTCTGTCCAACCTGGCCTTGAGCACCGCTAGGGATGGAGCATTCACAACTTCCCTGGGCAACCCATTCCAGTGCCTCAGCACCCTAACAGGAAAGAATTTCCTCCCTATATCCAATCTAAACTTCCCCTGTTTCAGTTTTAACCCATTACCCCTTGTCCTATCACTCCAGTCTCTAATGAAGAGTCCCTCCCCAGCATCCTTGTAGTCCCCTTTCAGATACTGGAAGGCTGCTATGAGGTCTCCACGCAGCCTTCTCTTCTCCAGGCTGAACAGCCCCAACTTTCTCAGCCTGTCTTCATACAGGAGGTGCTCCAGTCCCCTGATCATTCTCGTGGCCCTCCTCTGGACTTGTTCCAACCATTCCATGTCCTTGTTATGTTGAGGACACCAGAACTGCACTGGTCTATAATTCCCCAGGTCACCCATTTTCCCCTTCTTGAAAATGGGGGTTATATTGCCCTTTTTCCAGTCGTTGGGAACTTCACCTAACTGCCATGATTTTTCAAATATGACAAACCGATACCTGACTGTTTATGGACTATCAGCCTGTCATGCATGGAGACATCACCAGGAAGACTCTGGGGAGAGGTTCCCAACATGTCCTAGGGGAGCAGATTTGGTGATGCTGCCCAAGGAGACCTTCCAGGCTGTGACAGAGGGCTGGGCTCCATCCTGGAAACACAATTCCCTCCCTTTCTTTCTATTCTCTGTGCAGGGAGGGAGGGACTTGGGGTTTGCTGTGTGTCAATGCCTGCTGCACAGGGTACCTCCAGCACTTCTGGGGAGCAGACCAAGCCGAGCCCATAGAGCTGCGCCCATGGAGCTTTATGGGAAAGTCAGGACAAAGTCCTCGGCCTCTGGCCACGCTGCCTGATGGTCTGTTTGCAATCTGCAGGTACCAGATGCTGCCCCAGAGATAAGAGCAGACTTGAAATAACACAGAAGTTCCTCCTGGATATCACTCCCAGCAATTCCTTTCATTTACTTTGGCATTATCCCTTCACTGCTGTCATAATGCTGCTGCCATAATGCTACCACAGCCTTTCACCACCCATTTCTTCCAACCACACATAAATTGGAATGGGATCTGCATCTTTATCCTCTTTTTTCTTTCCCCTCATTTCCTGACATGTTTTAAAATGCCCTTTATTTACCCAAATGCAATAAAAGCAATGACTCAGCTAGCAATAAACCAGCCCAAACCCATGAGCATGGCAACCCCAGGGACTCCCAAGGAAAATGCACCCGTGGCTGCACTGCTGCAGTGACAATCACAGCCCATCACCGATGCTCCAGGCGATGTCTGAGAGAGGTTCTGGTATTCCTGTCCCCTTCCCAGAACCCGTGTCTCGCCCCCAGCTCCGGAGCAGTTTTCTCATGACCCAGGCCACCGGCGAGGTGCTGTGTGAGGTGGCAGAGGGGAAGGTGGACACCATCACCTGGAAGAAGGACGGGCAGCCCCTGCCCCCGGACAGAGGCTTCCTCCTCTCCAGCAGCCGCGGCGTTCTGTACCTGAGGTCAGCGAAGAAATCGGACTGCGGCTCCTACTCCTGCAACGCCAGCAATGGGATAAGCTGGGAAGAAACCTCCCTGAACATCACGGTTGCAGGTGATGGCTGCTGTGGTTTTGCCTCCCATCACTCTTCTTCTCTCACCCTTCCCTGGGGATCCCAGGGTAGTTTCATCCCATGCCTCTGCCTCCATCCCCCAAGGTTCAGCTGCCCTCTTGTGTGGTTGTGCCCCACATGCTGTTGACAGGAGCTCCTCATGGTAGGATGATGGGCAGCAATTCCCAGTGTCCGATCCCACCAAAGCACAATCCTTGGCAGGATGGATGGCAGGAGATTGGCTGCTCCCTCTTGGAGGAGTTCCCAGGTTGATGGCCCTTGGCCAAGGTGATGGTGAGCAGAACACTGGGGATCAGGGAGGGGGTGGCCAAGAAAGCCTGTGGGCAGCACTTGTCCGAGGTTGGACATTCCATGGACCACAGCCTGCAGCACAAAGTGCTGATTCGACACCAGGTGGCAAATTGATTGAATGTGTTCTGGTGAGAGAGAAACCCCTTGGCCCACCAAAGCCCCCCTTGCTTGGCCCAGCAGTGGTCTCACTCCCAGCTCCTTGGGTTTGTGTTTTCCAGGTCTCTCACCTCCCTTGCAGGATGTGCTGAGGATCGCAGTGGTTGCTGTGGTCTTTGCTGCTGTCTCAGCATGGGGACTGATCATTCCCGTCTGCCAGTCTGAAAAGCTCCGGATAAGTGAGTCCAGTCAGGGCAACTGAACCCTCATGTGGTTTGTGTTGGGAGGGACCTTCAAGCTCCTCCAGCTCCAACCCCTGCCATGGGCAGGGACCCCTCCCACTAGAGCAGCTTGCTCCAAGCCCCTGTGTCCAACCTGGCCTTGAGCACTGCCAGGGATGGGGCAGCCACAGCTTCTCTGGGCACCCTGTGCCAGCGCCTCAGCACCCTCACAGGGAAGAGCTTCTGCCTGAGAGCTCATCTCAGTCTCCCCTCGGGCAGGTTCAAGCCATTCCCCTTGGCCTGTCCCTACAGGCCCTTGTCCCAAGCCCCTCTCCAGGTTTCCTGCAGCCCCTTTAGGCACTGGAGCTGCTCTAAGGTCTCCCCTTAAGGAGCCTTCTCTTCTCCAGGCTGAACAAGCTTGGTTAGATCTTGGTACTTCCCAAACATTTTTATTCCAGACAGTTGAGGTGCTGACTGACACCTTTGTGGAAAAAGACATTTCTCGGGATTTTAAATTTTTTGTGTGTGTGGTTTTTATGTTTTACTATTACAAGGCTCCACTTTCAAGAGGTTGTGTTTAATTATCTGTCCTGGGGGGAAACAGAGCCCTTTCCGGCTCCCCTCACTAAAGAGCAGGTCCAACCCACCAAGGATCCCCCAGCATCCTGGGTGGGCAGAGGCTGCATCCCAAGCTGAGGCAGGGACCTAGCAGGGGCTGGTGCGGGATGTCCTGGGGATCGCAGCTCACCCGGAACTGCTCTGGTGCACAGGGGGGGAACTATGGCGATGGCTCAGCGCCTACACCTGCGGGCTGGTGTGCATTGCCTCCATCCTGGCTGGCACCGCCGGTGGCCTCTGGATGCGAGAGGAAGGTAGGACGTGGCTGCGGGTGGCTGGGGGCAGGGGGTGGTGCTAGAAAGACTACGCCTTTACCGTGGAGCACAGAGAAACGATCTCTCACCTGCAGACCATGTGGGGTGAAGACCTCATGGGAGATGTCTGGTGGGGTCAGGCAGGAAGGCAGTGCCCCCAGAGGGAGGGTAACACAGCTAAACACATGGGATGGACCCAGCCAGAACAACACATGTCTTTCCCCATGTGTGATCTTAGCTAGTCATGGGGCCCTGGACCTCCATATGCATTACAAACCTATGCATGCAATTAATACAGTTACTCCCCTTTCCCCAGAGCCCTTGTGTGGGCTAATTGCAGAAGGGCAGTTACAGTGACCAAGAGATGGAGAGGCTGCTTGCTAGAACAGCTTGAAAAGTCTGTGAGAGAGTGGGAAAGGGATATGATGGAAGGTTACAAAGCGATGAAGGTGGTAAACAGATGCTCTGCCCTGTCCTGTTTTCTTTCAGGCCCTTCTGTTGCAATCATATTGCCAGAGATTGCCCTTACATACATCACGGTGGTAACCTTCGTGGTCTCCACCACTGTAACCTTCCAACCTACAAATCTCACCCAGCTGAAAAGCAAAACAGGTGAGCTGCTCTACCAAGGATGACAAGGAGGGAAGGAGGGGAAAATGGTCACAGGGGGTTATTTTGCCCAAAATCTCATTCTTCCTTTTTTTTTCTTTTTTTTTTTTTTTTAATGAAACCTGTATTTCTTCATCTGTGCTCCCGAGGCTGGTGGGTTCCACACCAGATCACAGGTGAGGGCAGAGCTCCATCTGCATCCTGTACCACATGCTAATGTGACTCTGTTGTTTTCCCCCGGGCAGCGGAGCGCACAATGGGCTACGCTGCTCCCGGAGGAGTGGTTGTGGTGGTGCTGATGACCAGCTTCCTCATCAAGAACATCCACCATCGCCACGGTGAGAGGGGTTGCTCCAGGGACCACCCCACACACTCAGGCTAAAGCTTGTACATGATACGTAAATCCCAATATCCCTCCAACTTGGCTGCTGGGAGCTAGACCCAAACCAAATCCAGCAAATTGGGGTTTTCAGAGAAGTGAAATCTTTGCAAAAGCAAAACTAGATTCTCAACACCTCCCTCTTCATTTATTTTCCCTTGTTTTGCACATGTGCATGTTTCACGGTGATTTGCCTTTCTCCTCTATCACCTTCTGCCTCAATGGTGTTTAGTGCTGACTCCTGGCTTTTTTACACCCAGAAGAAGGATGCACGGACTTCATGGATGTGACCATCCTCACAGTCAGCACAGCGGCCGTGTCGGCCCTCCCGCTCCTCGCCATCTTCCTCTGCTGTAAGTCTCCTGCTCCTTCAGTTCGCTTCTCCTCCAAGTGCTCTATATCCAGCTGGTCTCCCTCTGACCCCATGGGATCAAGCAGCCATGAGAATCATTTAGGAACTATTCCTTTGGCTTTCATGAAGACCCCAAGACCTCTCCATTGCCCATTTCCCTTTGGTGGAGAGCCCCAGGCACCATCCCAAGCACAACATCCCATCCTGTGCGTTCGGTGCCTCCTGTACGCTTTCTCCTGCTGCCTGGGAACAGACTTGTCCTTTCACAGATCACACGACTCAGGGGCAGCTGAAGGAACGCGACACCTGTTGGGCAGACATGGAGAGGTAGAGACTCTATTGCCTTTTTCCAAATGAATTCATACCATCTAGAAGTAAAAAGAGAGGGATATGGAAACTACCCTGTGCCTTGCGTTAAGTCCTGGACCTCAAGAAAGACGCAGCCCAGCGCTGCTATCACAGCCCCTGATTTCACGCTGGGTTTAGTGGGTAACTCTGTGGAGGTCCCCATCCAGCAAGGCGCTTGAGTCCCTGTTCAAATCTGCCCACAGTTTTCTCCCCTCATGGCCTCAGCCTGACCCCTTTAAGCCTTAATTCCTGCTGGTTTCATAGAATTATAGAATCCTAGAACGGATTACCTTAAAGGAACCTTAAAGCTCATCCAGTTCCAACCCCTGCCACAGGCAGGGACACCTTCGATTAGAGCAGCTTGCTCCAAGCCCCTGTGTCAAACCTGGCCTTGAACACTGCCAGGGATGGGGCAGCCACAGCTTCTCTGGGCACCCTGTGCCAGCACCTCAGCACCCTCACAGGGAAGAATCCCTTCATCCCAGCCCTTTTGATTTCAGCCATGCTGTGTGTGCCTTTGGGCTTAGCCAGCTTTCTGAGGGAATGCCCGTGGGGCATCACAACCTCATGGACCTCAGGCAACTTCTCTTTGTCCAGGCCAAAACCATCCTGAGATACAGTGGAATCAGTATTACACCCACAGCTATTTGTAGGGTCTTGTTCTGTCTTTGGGCCATGCAAGGTTTGGTACAGAAAGAGGTCACTGCAGCCCTTGCTTCTGCCAGCCGCATGGGGCACCAGAGCCCCTGGCTCCAGAGATGCTCAACACCTTCCTCCTCCTCTTCCTTCCAGGTCCTTTGAAATGTCCCAGCGCAGCAGCAAGGATGCTCTTTCCACCCATTAGAGGTGGGTCTGGGTGTTTCTCACTTGGCTGAGTCAACTCCATCTTCCTCCCAGGTTTAATAGGTTCTCAGTTTCAGTGGATTTCAGCCTCTGGGATGCCTGCAATAAATAGCAATGAAATGAACTCATTTCTGCCTTTTGTTTTGAATAACACACAGCCAGGGGAGGCCAATTGCACTTTTCTCCCTTTCTTTCTCTTTAAAAGCCCCTAAGTAGAGAAGAGCCATCAGGAATAGCTGCAGGACTCACCTGACCCTTCCCACTTTATTCCCTGCTCCCCAGTGCAGATAATTCAGTGCATGGGTTTTTTTCGGGAGGGTGCTGGAGAGTGCCAGGTTCTCCCCCCCTGAATCCACAGGGCTATGTGCTGCCTGTCCCCATTAGCACAGGGCAGCATCCCCAGGGGACTACTGTTCTCCAGATGTGAGGCTGGGGTAGGGGGGCAGCAGCTGATTTGAGCCTTCTCTTTAACCATTCAAATCCCTCTCGGCAGCCCTGGCCTGTGTTGGGTGCTCTGGCATCATCTCCTGCCAGGAGGGGCTCTGTAGTTGGGGGGGATTTGGGTACCAGGGGGAGTAGTGTTTGGATGCTGCCTGTGACTGGGTGGGGAGGGCTCTCTCTTTGGGCTCAGCAGGAAACTGAAACCTTACAAAATCTATTTTGGTCCTTGGTTTTTTTCCCGTCTGAAAAGGCACTGCCACATCCACACATCAGCGCTGCCTCCCTGCACACCGACAGAAACATCACTGCTGGGCACCAAAAAGGACTGACATGGGCTCAGTCAGTACCTCGGCACCACACAGCCATTTGCTCACCCCTTCATGTTCCTTGCCCTCTTCTGATAAGAAAAGTCTGATAAATAAAGTATAACATAGGACTACTACTAATAATAGTGATAAAACAAATCACAAGGGGAGAGAATATAAAACGAAAAGGGCAAAGGAAAACAATCACAACAAGGGATGCACAGTACAAGAACTCAGCATCTGCTGACCGACACCCAGCCCGACCCAGCAGAAGTTAGTCCCTTACAGGTAATTCCCCCCAGTTACTATACTGGACATGATGTGCTGTGGTATGGAATATCCCTTTGGCTAATTTGGGTCAGGTGTCCCGTCTCTGCTCCTTCCTGGCTTCTTACGCCATGCCTCACTGGCAGAGTATGAGACTGAAAAGTCCTTGATCAGGATAAGGGCTAATGAGCAGCAACTGTGTGGTGTTAGCGTTATCTGTGTTATCAGCGTTATCTGTGTTATCAGACTGAACCCAAACAAAGCACTGCACCAGATGCAGGGAAGGAGAAAGAAAAAAAAAAAAACAAACAAAAAACTGTTTCAGCTGAATCCAGGAGCCAGAGGTCCAGAGCATGGGCTGGAGATACTCCCAAGAGCTGAACTTTGCCTCACTGAGTGGAAAGCTGAAGGTCCGGGTGGCTGCAGCAGCGGGTGCAGAGGGAGCATCTCTCTGGGAGGTGGTCCCATTGCTGAGGCTGCGGGTGAGCCATGGGACAGAAACGGGATCACCGCAGCTTCCCAGGTGAAGCCAGCGGAGGGAGCGGGGAGGCTGCGGTGGGCGTGGAGCAGGGTGGTCCCTTCACACACACGGTGGGAGCCAGATGCAGGCTCCCCACTCTCTTCTGCCCACCGCACAAGCGGCGGCACAGTCCAGGTGCTGCAGTAAGTGTGTCGTGTCGTGTCGTGTCGTGTCGTGTCGTGTCGTGTCGTGTCGTGTCGTGTCGTGTCATGTCGTGTCGTGTCACGTCGTGTCGTGTCGTGTCGTGTCGTGTCGCGTCGCGTCGCGTCGTGTCGCGTCGTGTCGTGTCGTGTCGTGTCATGGGGGTCAGCTCCGGGCTGCAGTCCCAGGGAAGGAGGGGCTGGGGGCCGGTGGGGTGGTGGAAACAGAAGCTGCACCTGTGAGGCTGGATATTGGACCCCTGGGGCTGGGAACTGGGGTGATAGGGATGCCAACTGAAAAAGTGGGCACCGAGTGATCTCCCCCTCATCCCCCATCCTCCCTGTCAGGAGCTTCGCTCTGCTCCCAGGCACAGCTTTCCCCTCCTACTCAATCTCAGAAACATGAACTTAAACGCAGGCAGAGTTATTGTAGGCCCTCACGGTACTGTTCATACAGCTCCTAAAGAACCCCCCTTCTCCTCTCCCCACCCCTTGAGTGGGGTAGCCTTTACATGTGTCATTTGGAGTACTCAGTCCCAGGACTCTGACGAGCTCAATTCACCCTGACAGCAAGATGGGAAAAGCACCAGGCAAGGCCAGGGCAAGGTCACAGAAGCCTCTGAAATAGCTTCTTATTGGCCTATGAAGAAGGTGGTTTCCTGGTTTGTTCATTTATCCCTGATAGTGTTCAGGGGCGGGTTGGATGGGGCTTGGAGCAAGCTGCTCTAGTGGAAGGTGTCCCTGCCCGTGGCAGGGTTTGGAGCTGGAGGAGCTTTAACGTCCCTTCTAACCCAAACCATTCTATGGTTCTATGATGATTCTACAGCTGTGATGGTTTCTCCAAACTGTTCTCCAAGAACCTTTTGCCTCAGCTTGTGCTGATGGTGGAGATGCCAGTGCTGTGGGGACATGTGGAGAAGGTTGGGGGTTCCCCCATTCCTGCACCAAGCAGCCTTTACCTTTCCCAATCCCTGTGTAGCAGATGCTAATGGTGAACCCCTGTGAAGCAGATGCCTTTCAAGCTGTCCTTCAGAGACCTGGCCACCATGTCTGGAGCAGCCACCGCAAGAGCCCCTCACTGCAGGAAGCGTTCATCCCTTATGCTGGTCTGAAGGAGCTTTCAGGGCTTCACCATGTTACCCTGCCTGCTGGTGGACATCATGTGCTGTGAGTATGAAAAGGGACTTGTGTGAGGCTTGCACTGGCCATGCACCAACTTGGAGAGCTCATCCTTGCAGCATTCCTGTTCTTTCCTTCCCTCCCTGCTCCATCCAGGCTGTGGCAGCACTGGCGAGGGTGTCTCCTTTGGGGAGCCATCTTGGTGAGTGCCTTCTTCCTCCAATGCCATACCTGGGTACCACCACCTCTTAAAGCAGCTTTCATCCACTTCATTCTCAAGGATTGCTTCCCTGTGAGTTTCTTCTCTGCTCTCAGACCTTGCCTTGAGCTTCTTCACCTCTTCTCCATCATCCTCCCTCTTTGCTTAGACTAGTCTTCCTTTTGGTTTCTGAACTTCTAGCTTGTTTACTCTTTAGGAACCAGCATGACCTTTTTTAACATACTAATAATATCTCCAAGGTGCAGTTCTGTCAGATTTAGGGGCTGGAAATATTAGATGTGACTTTCCTTTTGACAAGTCATTTTCTGCCAGTGGTGCTACAACAGGGTTCTCATGCCTGGGTTTTGTACAGTGCATTTCAGGTTTGCCCTTGCAGCCTGGCCCTGATGCATAAGGTCACTGGGCACGTAGCTAAGTGGAAGCAGCAGTTTTGCAGTACTTAACCTCTTCTTGAGGAGGGGGGTGGGACACACAGGTTGACTATGTCTGTTGGTTCTGGCAGTGTTCGGAAAGGTCAGCTCTCACACACCAAGACTGTCAGCAGACTTATTTAGCAGCCAGGACTACAGAGTCCCAGCAAAGTGCGTCTCAGAGTTTGTTTTCCAAGCAATGCTCTTCTTTTCAGGTGCTGAGACCCAGGGGTAAAGTCACTCTGAGATAGCACCTTCTGATGTGCTTAAAGCCCTGAAAGTCCAGATACCCATCATTTTCATCCCAAAAGGCAAGACGTTGTCTTAACCAGCTAAGAAGTGTTTTTATAACACAAACCAACAGTTTATCTTGCCAAAGAGGAAAGAAACCAGGCATGTGGTTTAACAGGTGTCAGGAAGTCAGTTGAAAACTTGTGGCAAAAATAAGATAAGGGTGTACAAGGAGATGAACTTGCTCATTGGCTTTTGCTTCAAAACTGACCCACTCTGGCATCTCTCCTGTTTCCAGACCTATTGGTGATTTGGCAGCGGTCTTCAGCAGTGGGGAGAATCACAAAAAGGAGACTTGTAGCTGAAGGATCCAGTGTACTGATGCATGCGCCGGATATCAAGAACATGAGCATCACTGAGTGGGAGTATATAAAAAACACCACATCTGAAATCATCATGCAGCACTATGCAGATGAGCAGTCTTCTGTTTACCAAGGCAGAGTGATCTTCTATCCAGAGAACAGCTCGATTCTTCTGCAGAGGGTACAAGAAGGAGACAGCGGCATCTAGAAGCAACAATTGATCTGATGCATGATAAAAGACAGGACAACCCTCCTTGCACTTATCAGTAAGTCAAAGGTGTTGAGAGGATGGTTTTCACAGAGATTCACCGGTCCATGCAGCAGACAGCTCATAGAATCACAGAGTGGTTTGGGTTGAAGGGACATTAAAGCTCATCCAGTTCTAAACCCCTGCCACGGGAGGGGGGCAGAGACATCTTCCCTGAGAGCAGGTTACTCTAATCCCTGTCCAACTTTGCAGACTCTTCCTTCAAAGCAGCATTGTCATTCTCTGTCTCTGAATTTCCTTGAAAACTAAACAGAAACAAGAGCTAATCCAGTTTTGAACTGCCCTTTCCTAGAGCTCTGCATCACCACAGGAGCATACCTCATGTAGGACATTCAGGGATGAAGGAGCTCAGGCACATGGTGTTGCTGTCAATTGGAAGTCGAGATGTAGTTAAGAGCAGGTACTTAGGGGTGAGCTGAGGGATGGAGCCAGTTTTCCTTCTGCAAGGGCTGGGGTCTCCAGCATGCCAGGCTTGCTTCTCTATGCTCCATCCCTTATGGGGCTGGACCAGTTTAACTGCAGGGAGCAGCAGTGTCCCATGTTGCTGCTTTTTGGCTGAACTTCATGACTTCTTTGCCCCCTCCTATACTTTCCCATGTCACTGCTGCATGAGAAAAGCCCTCTCCTCTTGGGACACCCAGTGACCGGCAGTGTCTGGAAAGTTCCTGTCACTCCTTCCAGGCATAATCCCAACTCGCATCTCTTTTAGGTCAGTATCCCTGCGCCCAGGGTGCTGTGCTTCATCCTCAAGCATTGGTAGTGTCCATCCTAGGGACAGTGGGGTGGCAGGGATGGGAACATCTAATTTCTGCTTGAACTTGGTGGATGTTTCCCTGCTCCT